AATGATCTACAAAGCAAAACCACGTTTCGATGTTCATTAAACAAAAAGTGAAATTGCTGCAAAAATGGATAAAGGCATATCCGTCTCAAAATTATGCGAGGAGTATGGCATTGGAAAATCCACTGTATATGACACAAGAAACAAGAAAAAGGGAACTTTTTGAATTTTTTGTGGAAGCAGCTTAAACAACTTACATTGAAAGAAATGTTTAATAAACTAAACAAATAAATGTTAAGCTTTCTTTTGTAAATTTTGATACCCTTTAGATTGTAATTGTTCTTTATTTCACAAATTATTCTTTCTTATTTTTAATTGTATAATTTCTGCATGCCATCTTACCAGATTTAAATTGATGACCTATTATCCGGAAAAATCCCAAATCCGGAATCGCCAAAGTCCCGACCAGTCCAGATCTCGGACTTTGTACTGTAGTAAATTTTGTGTTTCTCGCAGCCAACATTTGCCAAAAACAAAATAACAAGAAAGCATTCACTTGTCTCTCTCCCAAGTTGAAATGCCCTGTTGCTATAGCAACTGCCACTAACCAGACATCATAGCAAGAGCTGTTCTCCTGCTAGATAGATAATACCTTCTAAATAAAGTAGCATTTATTTTAAAGCACAGCTGATAAAATTTATAATTTCAGTTTCAGCTCCAATGACATTTTATAATACAGAGTGTCTGAATCAAACGTACCTATTTTGAACAGTCGATTGAAAATAAAGTTTTAGCACTGCGAGGGCAATATTAGCCACATGTGGGTGCTGAATTCATAGAGTTTGGCAACAATATTTTTTTCTCATGTCTGACGCATCTTCGCTTTTGCTGAGCTGACAAACGTAAAAATGGCGTCAACGCAAGAGAAGGCACAAATTGTTCTCTGGTATGCAGAACACAAATCCGTAGTAAAAGTGCAAAGAATGTTCCAAACAGTTTATAAAAGAAATTCACCCCAGGCTAAGAGCATGAAAAAGTGGCACAAAACGTTTCTCGAAACAGGAGATGAATGGAAAAGATCCGGAGATGACTGGTGTTCACATTCTGATTCAAGTGTGGAAGATGTTCGACAAGCTTTCATTCAGTTAATCAGGCTGGCAGCTTCCGAGTTATCTATATCATAATCAACTCTTCATGACCAACTGCATCAAAAACTGAGGATACATGCGTATAAAATGCAGATTGTGCACATACTGTAACCAAATGATGAGCCGCAGCATGCAGCACTTGCTGTGGAAATGTTATCTCGCATCGAAAATAAACACAATTTTCTAAACCACATCTTTTTTAAGATGAAGCTACATTTCATGTTAGCAATAATAAGCTCAACTGCAGAATTTGGGGCTTTGAAAATCCCCAGTTTTGGAACGGAGCAGCACAAAAATCAATGTGTGGTACGCTCTATCACATGATACAGTCATAGGCCCATTTTCCTTTGCTGAGACGTGTAACAATTACCTGGACATGTTACAAATTTATGCAATACCCCAAATGAAGCATTTACAACCCACTGTTGTCTTCCAACAAGATGGGGGCCCTCCTCACTATGGCAAGTATGTTTGCGTATTTTTAGATACAACTTTCCCTAACCAATGGATAGAACGCAGTGGCCTGATTGCCTGGCCACCAAGCTCTCCCAACATGACTCCTCTCAATTCCTTCTTTTGGGACTACGTGAAAGACAAAGTCTACTCAGGAAACATCCGTGATAGCCTCTATAACCGCGGCTATTGCTACTATGACTCCAGAAATGATACACCGGACATGGCTAGACATTCTCAGGGCTACTAAGGGAGCTCATGTGGAATTGTACTGATTCTTTAATAAAAACTTTGTGAGTATTGGTATCTAATTTTACATCTTTTTTTTTTTTTTTTTTTTTATATATATATACTTTTAAACTCTCTGTTACGTAGAGCAACCTCTCCAAATTAGGTACATTTGTTCGGACACCCTATATATTGGTACTTACAAAAGTACGATGACTGTGATGAACAATTTTCTAAGTACAGCAAGCAATATGAAAAGCATTCAGTTCAGAAGAAATGTTTCTACATAATATATATTACACTGTTTTAAAAAGACCTGAAGAATATTCCAATTTTAAACATGTACCTTTATTATCTAATGAAACATAAAACATTGAACTGATATTAGAAATATAAATCACATATCAAATATACATTCCTAATTATAAAAACAAGTGCATAATATTTCAGTGCTTAAACCAAACTGGAATACCGGAAGATCATTTTATGCTTCAAAATAAATTTAAAACTACTTGCAGTTAAATTAGAGACACCCAAACTGAATTTAAGTATTATAGTCACAAAGTATGACATACCAATAAACACAAATCACAGTTAAATTATACATAGATTTAAAAAAGTAAAAACTAAAAAAATTAAGCTTTTTTTTTAAAGCTCTGTTTGGATTTTGGTTACAACTCTGATATACGCCCTAATTTCACCAATGTGGCGATATGTGTTCTGCACTGGTTTTTGGCATGATTTCGTGTTGTATGGCAAACCTGTTGATGTTGAAAAATCTTTCGCTGGAGTTCGTTGGTTCCCGTGATGCTTTGTGTCTGAGAAGCTAGGCAGGGAAAGATTTAATGGTGAAAGTTGTTGAATTGAAGTTCGGCATAAGGAAATATCGTCGTGGCCATCCTGTTGAGAGGGGCAACGGGTATTTGGAGGTGTGGAAAGAAGGTATGGGAGATTATTTTAGTAGTGGCTGTGCGTGATAGAAGTAGGGATTTGTGATTATTTGTTATTTTATTTTTTATTTGTGAACCATAGTATGAATTTTTTGGATAGTGTGTCTGGCTGTCATATAAATACGATAGTGATTACGTGGTGGCATGTTATAGGCGGTATGAAATTGGTATTTCTGCTATTCGAAAAAGCATTAATGGTAAGTGCATTTTATTTTATTCTTGTTCTTATTTTGTAGAATGTTATGTTCATTGTTTTTCAGTATGAATTTCTGTCGTTATTGTTGTTTTTTGAAATTGTTTGAAATTTATTTTAGTTATTTTGTTGATTAGTGCTTACCGTCTAAATTGTGCATTTCGTAGATGTTTTTTAAAGTTGAAACAGAACGCTGTGTACATGGTATTCTTTGAAGTTTATTGTTGTTATGTTAATTTATTAAAGCAAGGTGTGCGTAGTTCGTAAATTCGTTCGTTGCCTAGATGGTGCCATTCGTAAATGATTTTTTTTAAGTTAAAACATATCGCTGTGTACATGGACTCTTGTCAAATAATTTTGGTTAGAAACTTCACGGTTTTGCTATCTAAATTTTTTGTTTCTGATTTTTAGCTTAAATTGTGTGTTCAAAACGTGGTTTTTGCATATGCGAAAACCGTGTTTTTGGAAACATTTTAGGCTTAAAGTTCGAAATGTAAACAAAAAAATTTAGATAGCAATATGGCAGCGTGGAGTTTCTCGCCAAAAGTATTTGGCGAGAAATTTGCCACCTTGAGGGCGCATATCAGAGTAGTTCCCGATTTTGTATATAATAGAAGTACTGGCTCTTAATTGAAGTGTCATCTGTTACAATATCGAGTATTAATATATTATAAAATTTGCAGCTGAAATTGAAATTATAAATTTTATCAGCTGTGTTTTAAAAATCCTATGCAAATCAGTTACTTTGATTATATGGTAAACATTGTTAAATAAAAATGAGCAATGTCAATATTTGGTTAAAGCAGAGAGAAGGATATCCCTTCTATTATCATGAAGTTGTTTCATTTATCGCCAAGTTGTTATTTCATTTATGATAGCCTGAGTAGTTGAATGTTATGAAAACCCTATTATGACATAATCGGTTGCATGATAGCGGTAGATTCATAAGGACTTGTGATGTGTGCGTGTATGTTGGTTAGGAAGTATATTGCTTGTTTTGTGGTTTAGACAGTAAAATGGCCGAATGTGGTAAGATTAATTTGAAGTTTCTGTACGACTTGGAAAGAGAGGGGAAAAGAGCATTACTTGACTGGTGTATAAATGAAGGTTTACTTAGTAGCCATTATTGGGTGTCCTGTTTGTAGGAAGGAAATGTGTATGGTTGAACGTCCAAAATACGTACGGTCGAACGTCGTCTCGGAGGATATTTTTTACTCTTATTTTGTGAATTTATGTGGTGACACTAGTATACAGATTCTAGTTCAAATAATTTTAGGAAGTTTTTGAATGCTGTTAAGGAATTTTGTTTCACTGAAGACGTGTTAAGTCGTAAATAAGTGGATATTTCCTTTGTGTAGTGCAAAAATGAATTTTCTTTATATGTTATTTCATTGTTTGATTTAAAATATAGTTTATTAAGATTATATATATTTTTCATTGGCTGTTCCTTTGACTTCTTAAGTGAATATAGTTCGATGTGTACATGGACAAAGGAAATGTGCAAAGCCTAGTCTGTGCAATTCTCCGATGTTTTTTAAAGTGAAAATATTTTGATGTACATGGATAAAGTCAAGGGAGTGCACAATGCCATTTTCGTGCAATTCTGGGATTTTTATTTCAGTGAAAATAGGTTGATGTGTCCATGGATACCAAGTTTGTGCAATTCTTTGTCTTGTCATTTTGGCTTTGTGTAGCGGCAGTTTGATTTTTGGCGCAAAAATTGCTGCTACACAAGCCAAAATAACAAGTCAAAGAATTGCACATCTCGGTATCCATGTACTGCCAAAAATCGTCAAGGGGTACCCGCAAATATACTTTTACCCAACATTTTTTTTCAGCAAAAATTTTTGCAATGAAAATTATTCGATTAATTATATGATACTTCCGATTCTATAATGCAGTAATTATAGATTTACAAAATGCATGTACTTGTTTGTCACATTAATTAAAATAATATTAACTTCGTATTTCTAAACTGCAGGTTTTTAATCATTTATAAAATTTCTTTTCAAAAAGATAAAAATTGTTTTTTCATTTTCCTTTATGAATTTAAAATTTCATAAAATAAGAACCTTTTATCAAAAATCTCACCTCTGAAGGTATGCAAGAACCTAAAAATGTAGTTGCACTCCAAAATGTTATACCACAGGCCATGATAAGACGTCTACTATACCTGTCACCAAGATAACCAAACAAAGGTGCCATCACCATGTAACTAATTATGAAGGAAGTTTGTAAAAGACCAGCCTGAGAATCATCTAATCCATAATAATCTTTGACATCTCTCAAGACACCTGAAAAAGTAAAAAAAGTTTAAAATTTACATAATGAGAACAACAAATTTTTTCATCTGTCATAAGAACATTACTAATAGATGTCAGAGATAGCCCAAGGTTTTCAGGTCATTTAAATAAGATAACATGCAATTTATTATGACATAGCATTTGATGTTTACATAATTTCTTACAATTCCATAATATCTCAAAACATTTTACATTTACATTCCTTACAATTACATATCGTAGCTGCCCCAGACAGTTATAATAAATGCTGTTATAAACAATTTTGCCTTGTATCCACATTCTGGGAAAACTAAGAAAATACTAAGCAGCCAGCTCACTTGTAAGTCTGCAATTTAAATCTGGGACTATAATTTTGGATACTTTACTTCACCTTTCAGTTATAATAGGTAGTCAATATTTCAAAATTTTAAAGGCCAAAAAAACGATGACTTTTTACAGAATAATAATAAATTTCATAACAATTATTTGCATGTAATCCATTTTTAAGGACCTTCTAATAATTAAAATTTACCCAGCACACCTGCACTACAACAATCACACATACTTCAAAACAGAATATAAAAATACTTCCTAAACAAATTTTTAACATTATTTTTAGCTTCAAAATCACCATATGTACAAAAATGCCTTTAATATTTTATCTTTCATAATCAGAGGCTAGCTAGAGTTTCTAGCGCCCGGTGACAACTGAAGAATTTGCGCCCCTTTCTGTGTGGCAAGAATGGAAAACATTTCATTAAAAAATTTCGTAGCATCAATTTGACGCCCCTTGGATGCTGCGCCCGGGGACGGATGTCCCCCCTTGCCCCACCCTAGCTACGCCACTGTTCGTAATGGTTCCAAGCACTATGTTCTCAATAATCGAAAATAGGGATATACCATGCTATATATAAATATATCCCATCCACTTTTTGAGAGCTAGTGATTTGTTTCACTTTAATCTTTGTCAGTTGCCAAAACTCCCATTTAATCAACAAACTATGTTCTTATGCCCAGTTTGATATTATACATACACTGTAAAAAAAAAAACCTGCATTTTTTTTTTCTTTTAATATAATTCTCTTTGTATTTTATACTACCATACAGCTTCCTAAGTGAAAGATAATTTTATTGTGTCTTATTGAAAAATGGATCTTCAGTGGATAGCAAGGTAATGATCTAAGTTGCAGATATTATGGTTGCTACAAAGCTAATTATAGTAGCAAACTAAGCTATAGGTCCCTAGTTAAAATTAAAGCTTCCTGTGCTTACGAGTACATTATTAAAAAATGTCCAAGTAAAAAATAACGAGATTCTGAAATCAATATGTCAATCAACTTCAGAAGAAAATTAAAAGCAAAGTCTAAACTTGAATACAGAACTTTACATTTCAAACTTCATATAATAATGGTATAAGGAAAAGTCACAATCTGAATAAAGAATTCTCATCTTTCTACACAACTTTATGTTCACAGATACGCTTTAGGACAAACAGCTATCTAGTCATACCTCTCATAGCAGCTGGTAAAGACACTCTGGATGAAAAAATAATAAATGCAACCTCATACAATAACAACTGCAGAATTCAAACTTGTTGTAAGACAAATGTCCCACGATTAAACTACTAAAAGAGTGGGGAAAATACCAACTTTTCTGCAATTCTCTGATGTGCTTTTAAGTAAAATCACTACTGTATAAATGGAAGAAATAACAGTAATGTACAATGTTTAATGCAGGCAATGCTGAAGTTGTACACAGTGCCCAGTTTATAAAGTTCTGATATTTTTTAGTGAAAACAGATCACTGTATACATGGGAAGAATATTAATAATGCATTACTTTATATAATTCACAGCTGACCACGCTATAACAAACTTCAAGGGACCAGTTGTTTGGTTCACTATACTTAATAAAAGAATGCTTAACATTGTTACATCTAATAAAAGAAGAAAATCAAATTATAAAAAATATATATTAATATTTAATTAAAATTATTATTGCACACAATTATTAAAATTGTCAGTTGTTCATTTTTTCTTTCATGTTAATCATTTTACACAATAAACTTTGTAACTGAACAAGAAATTATGTCTTTTTATAGAATTAAAGAGAAAGTATTATCACATAAAATGAAGCAACTTAAACAACTTACATCGAGAGAAATGTTTAATAAAGTAAACAAATAAATATTAAGCTTTTTTTTTTTTTTTTTTTTTTGTAAATTTTGATATCCTTTAGATTATAATTGTTCTTTATTTCATAAATTACGGTTTCATATTTTTAATTTTAGAATTTCTGCATGCCATCTTACGAGATTTAAACTGATGATCTATAATCCGGAAAAATCGATAATCCGGAATCGCCGAAGTCCCGACGAGTCCGGATTAACGACTTTTGACTGTATATGAAATTACCTAATCGCGAAAAAGTATATACCCTTTCCAAAGATGGACATTTGCATGTATAAAATAAATAAAATATCCAAAATCTTTTACCTTTAAATTATCTATTATAAACGTCACCAACGAATTTATAACAAAACATTAAAAATGATTACAAATACTTAAATTCTTTCCATGCACAATTACTTCTATTCAAACGTATTCCAAAATACTACAAACATATAACTCTCAAAATCACGATCATTAAATTAAAATATAATTAAATTAAAAACACTACTTAAAATATAAATAAGCACATACATTAAATTAATAAAAATTAGCTTACAATCCTAATTACTTTAAACTAAATCATTGCTAATAACAATTTTCCAATAATACCATATTAATTTATTTACTCTTTACATTTAGAACAATGCATAAAAATAATATCCTCAAATAATTAAAAATACTAACTTACCTAATCTTCTACAGAATCTTGAGTGCATGGCGGATCACAAAATGTCCATTTTCACCAGGTTTCTTGCACCACCACTCAAACTATCTGTAATATCCTTCCTTTCACACAATCTCATTTCATTCCCACATATTGGACATTCATACTTATCCACAATTAAGCAATTCTTTTCAATTACACATAAATGGAATAAAAATTTTCAGATTTACTTTATATAGGGCCATGGAATCCAAATATTAAACAACACTGTCTCACAAAACATAGAATGAAACTAATGCTATAAAGTACAGCAGATATTTTTTTTTAATTTACACCCTTTTTCTGATTAAAGAACAGTGATTCGTCCATTAATGTCACATGGCACATCTCATGATCTCTCATTTGCCTCACACAAAATAATGCGTAATCGGAACTCAGTACTTCTTATATTATTCCCAAAGTCCTAGGTAGTAACCTTTATCGCCTCCAAAATGTCGCCAAACTACCTGTTACCATATTCCAAAGATCAGCCAAAATATTTGAAGATTAAGGAACAACACAATCTGCAACATTAACTGAAATAGATAATTACATAATCTTAGCTTATACCATCCGTTATATAATAAACGTGCATGTGTAAACATATTATGCGCAGCCGTAAAGGTCTTGCGCGCATGTGTAAACGCGATGCATGCGCAGAAAGTTTGTAGCTTTGAGGTCCAGATTATAGATCATTGCGGATTATGGGTGTCCGAATTAACAACTTTTGACTGTATCCTCATTCTCCTACAAGTAAGTTCACACCTATCTTGCAAAAGCTTTATTTAGAATAGAGATAAGTGGGAGTAAAGAGGAATTAGGAAAATCCCCCTTTTATGGATGAAATGTATATAACATTCGAAACGTGGTTCATTTTAAGGGATAATAATTTCTTAATTTAAAGTTTTAGAAATTCTGGAAAAAAAGTTTGTTTAAATGTTCAATCAAAAATATTCATACAGTTCATTATATACTATTTTCAATCCTTTGGAGGTTTGCTATGGCAGTATAAAATGACATTAAATGCAGGAAATTGGACAAGAACGAAAAGTTCTTTATATCTGGGGGGTTTGTTATATGTTGGGATTTTTACAGTAGGGTTCAACTGTATGTAATGTTTAATGTACCATGTAATCCTTATTTAACTATTAAAATTTGAGTTTTAAATTGCTAATGTGTGTTTTTAAGATAATGTTTGGCAGCTTTCAATACATATCAATAATTTGGTGATCTTTGCAACTTGAACCTCAAGAGTAATATTTACCATACTAGAATAATAAATACCAATTGTTTCACGATTCATGGGATAGTATCAAAAATCAGATACTTGGAATACACGTTTGAGACACTGGCTCATAAGAATGTTACGCATGAAAAAATCATAAAAATGTCCATGCAGCCAGCTTGTTCACCTGGAGTCAAACTCGGATCAACCTACCAGTGCTCAGCAACTTTAGAACTTAGCCACTAGTGTGTCTTCAGTGATATTGCTGTTATATAAAGCATAAAGATGGTTAAAATTGTTATAATTAAAAATTTATATCAATAATAAATTTTCTCATCCTAGCCACAAGCTGCAGGAAAATAACCCATGGGCCACATGCAGGCCACAGTTCTATTTTAGCATCAATATAGTCATTCCACTATAATATATACTTTTTATACAAAAAATTAACCTCCCATATTCTGCCACAACTTGTTAATCAAGTAACCTGCATTGCATAGATGAATTAAAACAGCTTGTTTCCGAGGAGTTGTTCTTGCTACTTAAAATTATGATATTTTAACAACCAAAACAAGTCAATTACAATACATGACTCCTCTGTAACTACTCTCAACAGATAAATATCAAAATCACCAAAAGTTCTATTTAAGAATTTTGAGACAGATCAACCAGCACTTTTACAGATATTTTTAGAAACAGCATGATAGCCTTTTTTCCCCAAATTCTTTTAAATCTAGTCACATAATACTAGATCTTTGCAACTTGAACCTCAAGAGTAATATTTACCATACTAGAATAATAAATACTTCTCTTAACACCAGTGTTAGTTAAGGTTAGTCTTCTGCATTTTGTAGGCAATACCATTTCTGTATATGAAAACTGTTTTTAATTAATATATTTTTAACAGTATATAGTTTTTGATAAGTATTACATGCACACAAAAACATGAAAACCCTGAAGCTCAAAAATCGCAGCCATGGAATCTACATTTTACATATTTCAACATGTATATATGACCAAATACTCCTAAATTCTGAATAACCTTTTAAATAAGAAAAAAAAAAAATTCCGATGGACAAAACTTAAGTATAGCACTCATAATGATGAAGAAATGTCGTTTAACAGCAACATGCTTAGTCACACACATTAAAAACATGAAAACGCATATATCCAATCATTTTTTTTTTTTTTTTGGTCCTTATTTCACGTTCACTATATCACATTTCATACGCTTGGACATAATTTTTATATTTTAAAAATCAGAGGGGAGAAAAAAAATCAAGATTTGAACCCTCAAAATTCATTTAATATGATTTCATATCGAGATAAATTATATCACAGTTTGAGTTTACATAAAATCTCTACTGCACCTGCTAGTGTATATCTGTCCATATAGTTAATCAGATTTATGAAGCATAAAATAGACACGGATATATAAGGCCGCGAACGACCATACGTGTACCGAACACCCATGGCAGCAACTTGTTGAGAACTTGAAGAATCATTTTGTCTTGTATTTATTGCTTGACGACTACTGCCATCGTTTCCATTAACGACTGCGGTCCTAATCTCGGCAGTCACATCATTATTAACTAAAGCATTTTCATCAGAATAATTCCTTTCTTCCATGACAAATATTTCTAACATCAACTAAAATTCTTTAAATGAGAAAACATTCTAACAAATTTGACAACACCAAAGTAAACAAGATAAAATTATGCAAATAACGTCTAGTACGGTTACAGTTTAAAACAGAGAACTTCAATTAATTAATACTGAGCGTAGAGTTACATCATTCTCTGCAATCTCTTCTATTAAACTGAAATGCAGTACAATAGAAAGAAAAACAACATTTCATGCAGAAAACGCGTTTGAGGGTCCGATAGTTAATATCATACGAAATCATTTCTTCTCTTCTTTCCTCGGAGGTCCTGAAAGCGTTTCAGACGACTGGACTCATTCTACAACAGTATAAGTTTGGCTAAAAAGAGGAGACTCGTAGGATGCAGTTGTTCAGAACCGTGTTATTAAATTAGGAATCTGACACCTCTTCAAGCGTGGAAACACGTTCCTGGAATTTTAAAATCCTGCAGATCTGCCGAGTAGGGGTTGTTCAGCGCAGCAGTTATGCAATTCGAAATGGTGGAAAGCTCCCAACTGGTTGCATCTTCCACCTCGGGAATGGCTAGTTATCGAAACAGAACTAGATGTCAACGAAGTACTTAAAGAGAAAAGAAGAGAAATCGTGTCTTCTATGGTAAATTTTCAAGTAATAGAAATCTGGAAGGATTATTTTTCCACCTATAGTAGAAGAGTAGCGGCATCGGTCCTACGTTTTCCCCCAATAACATTTTACATGAAAACAAGTTAAAAGGTAACTTGAGTTTTGAAGAATTCCAAAAAGCAGAAGTGCTCTTACAGTTAAGGACTTTTCAAGACGAGAAGCTCCTTATTAAAATTCAATACTTTAGAGATAGCTTCTGAGAATAAGAACCAAACTTGTGAAAGTCCTGAAAAAGAAGATTTCAGATACCCAGTTCTGCCTGTTTACCTGCCTGTGATGTCGTTCTCAAGCTAATCCACGAACAGCATAAAAAGCAATGCATGCAAGTTCTTCAATCTTACTTGCCAGGCTTAGAGAGGGGTTTTGTATTCTTAAAGCTAAAAGCTTGGTAAAACAGGTTCTTTTTAAATGTTTAACATGCAAACGTTACAGATCTAAACCCTTGGTAATTCCTTTGGCTCCGCTACCTAGAGATAGAGTTACTCAGACAAGAGTCTTTCAGGTATCTGGTATGGATTATGTTGGTCCTCTCAACCTAAAGTCGGAAAGTCTCGTTGGATCGTATTACTCATTTGCGTCGTATATCGAGCGGTTCATTTCGAATTAGCCCAGTCACTCACTACAGATGCTTATATTCAAGCCCTACGACGATTTATTACAAGAAGAGGCAGGATATTAGTTCTTTACTCGGATAACGGCTCAAACTATATAGGAACAAACAATGCGTTATAAGCATCGCATTGAGACAAGATTAGCCGTGTACTTAACATCTCATAAAATCACTTGGAAATTTATTCCACTCACAGCTGCGTTGTGGGTAGGTGGTGGGAGCGGAGGGGAAGAACGCTCAAGGAACTTCTGCGTAGAGTGTTAGGAAAACCAACCGTAGATTACGAAGAACTCAACACGATCCTGTGTGACTGTGAATCAGGAATAAATGCTAGACCGCTGACCTACATACAAGATGACCCATGTGAATCGGTACCACTGACACCAGGATTGTTTATTCACGGTGGCAGAAACAATGAGACTCCAGATCTTGACCACGTAGACCAATCTGCCTTGATAAAACGGACTATATATATAACTTACAGGAAGTTACGTGAAAATCTTAGACAAAAATTTAGAAATAACTATTTTGCACTTTTAGTCTACAAGGGAGTAAGAAGAAATGATGCTTTAAACGTTGGAGATATTCTTCTAATTAGGCATGATCAAGTCCGACGTATCGATTGGCCTCTTGGAATAATTTTAGAAATTTATTCTGGAAAAAAGGGTGTTCCAAGAGTTGCGAGAGTAAGAACCTACAAGGGTGAGAGGATATGTCCTTTTCAAAGACTCTATACATCAGAAGTGTCAGCAAAAGCTGATGTTGATGTCTTGAAGGCTTCTAGACAAAGTGAGATATCTGTCAGAATTATTCCCGACTCTTCCGTTGACTGCACTGATACCTTTGAAATGAGACACCCTCCCAAAAGTAGAGGAAGAACCATAAGAATTCCTCATCGAATGGATTTATGAAACCTGTTTTTATTTTTCGCAACTTTTACAATTGTGCAAGACATAAGTTTTACATTCAAAAATTTGAAAATTATGCTTATTCTAAATTTTAATTGCAAAGTTCAGTTTGTAAATTTCACTTTGCAAGGTGGGAATATTTTAAAGATTGTGCAATAATTAATATCGTTATTTAAACTTAATTATTACTTATGTTTTTGTTATTACTTTTCTTTTTTGCTGAATGACAACAATTATTATTGTTATTAAGCAAGTATGCTTTCGTTTTTACGTAATGTTGAGAACGCAGTTTGCTCAGCTTATTTTGAAGTTGTTTATGTTAGCAATGCTAATTTAAGGCTGCATTTTAACTGAATAAATAGTTGTTTCATTCATCTGGATAACTTGTAGTTCATTTGAGTGACTTGAAAGGCTTCCGTAATTTTTTGTTTGCACTTGTTCTTTACAAGAATTACGGGCTTAAAAATAAGTGACATATGAAGCAAAGGCCAGTTTAATACACAGAGAGTTACTATGTAATGCTGCCAGATGACGGTTATGCATTTTCAAGTCGAAGCTAGTCAAATAATACCTTGCGATTATATGAGGGAAAGTACATATTAGTAGTTACCAGATATTGAACATTAGGAATAAGTGGATAAGAAACCTTGTTGATTGTCCTATGCGCTATGCTGCGAATTCATTGACAAAGTCTTCAGTGTGCTGCCGTAATTCGTGAAAAATGAATATGAGTGTTTGAAAAATGACGGTACTCCTCACAGTATGTTTAGCGCCAAGTGGATGCAAAGGCAGCTAGCCTTCACACGCTTTTGTTGTTATTGATTTTTGGTGTTCCTTGACTCGTAAATTACATTTTCTCGGTTACATGGTTATAGCATCCCCCCCCATCAGCAGTATATTGCACCCTCGTTGTTTGCGCCTTTATTCTGTGATACGCAGTGTAATAGAGAAGGGGTCAAATTTAAGCAAGTAACATCAGATTTAAAGAGTTGCAATTAGATTTTCCAGGTGCTGCAATTAAAAAGAAGTAAAACAGCTTTTGAACGGAAAGAAATGTTTCAAGTCAGTTGATCATTATGTCCCCTTTTTAATTACAGTTTATAAATGCAAATATAGTTAATGTTTAACTTTTTCTGTGGAGATCCAAATGATAAACCGCCTGCGGCAGAAATTAAATAAGAAATTCTCACGTCAAAAATTTTTCTTCTGATGCTGACAAAAATGGTAAAGAAACACAACAAGCGGAAAGTGACCTCCTATTTGTAGCTCATGTCAAAGCTGTGGTGAGTAACATTGATAAGTTTTATTCACCCAAATTGTAGAATAGAAAGTGATGGAGTGTTTTCAGTTTGTGGACAAATTCATGGATAAAACTTTCTCCTAGTCTGCCTTCCGTCAACAGAAAGTCTGGTGAGTAAGCCGGATGGGGTAAAACTTCCCAGCTGAGTGCTTCTAACGTGCCGCAGACCGGTTTTGCCGTATATGATCGAGCATTGTCGTGAAGAAAATGACGTTATGTTGCCTCTTCTGGTATTCTGACCTTTTTTCAAACAGCGAACTGTTCAAATGTGTCAATTATTGTTGGTAACGTTTAGTATTAACCGTTTCTCCAGTTTTCAGCAACTCATAGTAGACCACGCCCCGCTGAACCCACCAAGCACAGAGCATCATCTTTCTTTCTGCTAAAGCGATTTGGTCTTGCAACCAATGTGGATGGTGCGCCTGTGTCTACCGTTGATTTTTCGCGATTAGGAGTCTCAAAATAAATCCACTTTTCATACCCTGTAACTATACGATGCAAAAATGGCTTCCTTTCGTACCGAGCGAGCAAAATGTAACATGTGTTTCTGTCCTTTTCCATTTGCCTGCCGTTCCAACTGATGTGGTAATCATCTACCGGTCTTCCGAATTTTTCCCATCTCTCGTAGCCGATTGGAAACAGCTTGTTGACTAATGCTCAGTTCGCTCAGCCAGTTGTTTTTGTGTTTGCAAAATCATCTTCGTCCAACAATGCTTGCAATTCCCCCTCTTCGTAATTTTTGTCCAGGTTTTCCACGTTCCTTGTTTGCAACATCGAAGTCACCACTTTTGAAACACCGAAACCATCATTCACACATGACTCGCGATGGAGCATGTTCACCATAAGCTTATCGAAGTAATCGGTATAATTCAGCAGCAGTTTTTCTCAAATGAACACAAAAAATTAATGCTGTCCGCGAATGCTCTTTGTTCGGTGTAAATTTCGGCATATTGATCACAACACTATGCACACACCTTTCCAATTTATCACTTGTGCGCGTCTGACACTTGTTGATGACACAACAAAATGGCACAGTGTCAAATCTTTATAACACAATCTGCATTGGTGCGCCATCTGTTGCCTGAAATCCACATTTCATGTAATAATCGTATAAAATCATTAAAGTACCGTGAAAGTGGAAAAGAATGAACAATAAATTTAATAATTGGGCATAATAATAACCGTGATTAAATCTTAATACGAATTTTTAAAATTAGATTTATTTTTCATTTCTTTTAGTAGACGTGAGTATATTAACCAGTTTTTTATGATTCATCAATTAAGTTTTTACACTTTTTTGTGAGATAATACATTTTTCTTAATGGATCAGATATAGTGAATCAAACTTTTGATTTCTTGAAGTTCATTATTGTGGGGTTGATTCAATATACTGATTTATTTTCATTTAGAAAAAGCGAACACTTTTTTATTATAAATGTTAACTGATTTTAATGGGCATAAATTTAAATCGAAACACTCCTACTGCTACAAAGGTATGAGAAGCCTTTGAGTTAAGTGAAGGATCCTCAGAAACCCTAATCTTGAAATTCTGAAACACTAATCCTGAAAAACAGAAACATCACTTTTGCAGTTTGCTTATATATTTTTTCTCTCATTAATGGTTTTTTCTTTGAAGCACATTTTTGTATCCAAACTCGGGCTGCAAAGTTCTTATAGAGAACAATTTCTAAAAAAATTTCATAACTGGGATTAGGAACAAAATTCATATGGGCAATTATCATTAGCAGAAAGGAATACGAAAAATCTATGAAAGAGGAATATAAGTGATACCAACGATAGACTTCATATTCCAAACATGTTTAGCAAATTAATTTTGTTTTCTAGTTTGTAAGAATTTAAACGTTTGGAGGGGGAAAAAATCTTTTTGCAGCTTAGTATTTTTCTTGCTTTAGAAAATTTTATGTTTATAATAATTGGTAGGCAGGGCAAATTCGGCATCTGCAAGGGGAGCAGAAATCATTGTCACACTACTGTTTAGACTCTATCGAATTCACACTCCCCGTCGCCTCTCAGAGCCCTAAAAAATGAATAGATTGTCATATTGTCATTGGCTCCGTCACTTTCTGCTTGAAAGGGTTCAAGCTCCAAACTTTGTTTTAGACTTTTGTCATTTTTTGGAGATGAAGCATATTTCTATTTAGAAACAGAAGAAACAGCTACAGAAATGGATGAAATAGCAGGATTTAGTTTGTAGAAATTCTTGATAAGTATCTAAATTTTTTTCGTGTTCAGAAGCATTTCATGATTTAAAGGAGGATTTCCTTAACTCCGAACCTGGAGTTTAAACTATTTGCAAAGTCTTTCTAATGAAAGTTAACTTCGCTTTAGTGTAACCAGTTCAGAACATAATTCGAAGTTTTATAGAATGCTCATTTAAATTTGCCTTTCAAAGGGCATAAATAATATACTATATTAATTGAAGGAAAACTCTAAGCACTATATATAATAACTTAACCCTAAAAATACTACAGCTGTGTGTGAACTTTTACACTTTCTTAATATATATCAGAGTATTTCGAAAGTTCCAAAATCTCAAATATAAGCAAGTACATTATACAGTACCATAAAAAATTAAAGTAATCCTGCAACAAATATATTTACAGAATTCTTTTTTTCCTAATGTTTTCGAAATATTGTGTGTAACATTTTCATACGGTGGCTAGGCACAGCCTGAAAGGTAAAATAAAGATAACTTTTTAATTAAATAAAATTTTTAATAAAAGTTACAATTAAAAACTCAATAATGTAGGACATTTCATCAGACTCGTCATTTCAACAATACCGGATTATCATATACGTGTCGAATACGTGTCTAAAAAGGAGATAAATGGATAACCATTATGCAACCTACCATAAGAATGAAAATTATGATAAAGTTATTTAATACTTTGTAAGAATGAAAATCACATTAATGTTATACAACAAAGGAACTTTAACAAAATGATGAGTAAATAAAAACAAATATGTAGTAGTATAAAATAGATGAAAACCAATAGTTAGATGAAAAAATACAAGGAAATAAGCAAAAATACCTATATATATTATAAGAATATTTTCTCTCGCAATTTCTTAAGCTCTGTTTAATAAAAAATTCGTATGAATACTGTTTTATAGTGTAACTAATTATTAATAAATAGCAAAATATTTGGCCCATGGTTAAAAAAAATACTCTCATACCAGAGTTTTGAGGCGTAAAAAAAACCAGCTTGTTTCTCAAAAAAAGATAAATGGTTCAACACTTTTAAAGTTAGTTTCGGAATAAGCGCGTTTTAACTTACATAAAATTAACAAAACAAATGTTTTTCACTAAGGTACGGGGAGAAAACCATTTTCAGAAGGGGCATGAATTAATCAAAAAGTTTATAGAAATAATAAATAAAAGACAATAACGAAGACGATGCCCCCACTAGCGGCCGAGTAGTAAAGTTGCTGAACACTGGTAGTTCGGTCTGGGTCGGTCGAATTCCGCCGAGTGGACTGGTTTCACAAGCGCTTTCGTGTTTTCTTCGCGTGCAACGTGGATATGAGCCAGTGCCCCTTAAAAGTCCTTCACGGGGCTTTTTTCCTCTGCTGAATACCATGTATGCATCGCTGTGGTTAAAAAAAGATAAAGAAAACGGAAGAACGTACTCATAGTAATGCAGTATATGTAGTCATATGCCATCTCCAAGCAAAGTGGCGT